TTGGAGGCCCTGTTGGGCCGTCTTGGAGGAAGAATTGGGTTTGGGCGATGGCGTGTGCGTCTCACGGGTCTTGGGGGGCGGCTGGCGGGACGGGCCGAAGCGCCAGGGGGAGTTCCTTTGGAAAAGAACCAAAACCAAAACCGAGAGGGTCCAGCACGCCAGGCACCCCTGCGATGAATCGACAGGGGGCGGCGGATCCTTTCGGTTTTGGTTCTTTTGGAACCCTCCCTGGGGCTTCGGCCCAGCGCGCCGGCCACCCAGAAACTGCACATGTCAATACCTTTCACGCCCAAGATGGCCCCACATGGACTCCAAGATGCCTCCAAGACGGCCAAGATGGCCTCCAAGTCCGCCCAAGATGGTCCAAGATGGCCTCCAAGACGGCCCAAGATAGTCCAAGATGCCTCCAAGTCCGCCCAAGAAGACTTCAAGACGGCCCCAAAGGCCTTCCAAGAGGGCTCCAAGACGGCTCCAAGAGACTCTCTAAGATGGCTCGAGGAGGTGACAATCATTGTTTTTCATTTCTAACAAAACAAAGATTTGGGAATTTCCTTCTTTTCGGCCTTCAGACTGCACAAGAGTCCCCCAAGATCGCCCCAAGATCGGCCCCAAGACGGCCCCAAGAGGGCCCCAAGACGCCTCTAAGACGCCCAAGTAAGCTTCCAAGACGGCCCTGGAGAACCCCAAGAGGGCCCCAAGTCGGCCCACAGATGCCCCCAAGACGGCTTCCCACGGCTTCCGACGGGCCAGGAGCCCACCAAGATGGCCCAAGATGGCTCCAAGATGGCCCAAGACGGCCCAAGAGACCTCCAAATGGGCATCCACGAAGGCCCGAAGAGGCCCAAATGAGTGATTTCCCGTTGGTTTTTGAAGGATGTTGGCAGTTGTTTCTTTTCGGCCTTCAGGCTCCCCAAGGGTCCCCCCAAGATCGCCCAAGAGGCCTCCAAGATCGCCAGACGGCCCAAGAGACCTCTGAGACGCCCAAGGAAGCCTCCAAGACGGCCCTGGAGAACCCCGGGGCCCCAAGTCGGCCCAGAGAGGCCCCCAAAACGGCTTCAGACGGCTTCCGACGGGCCAGGAGCCCACCAAGACGGCCCAAGATGGCTCCAAGATGGCCCAAGTGGCCTCCAAGAGGGCCTCCAGGAAGGCAGGCCCGAATTAGTGATTTCCAGTTTGATGTTGGCATTTGCTTCTTTTCGGCCTTCAGGCTGCCCGAGACGGCCCGAGAACCCCCAAAGATCGCCTGGCCCCAGAACGGCCCAAGAGGCCCCCAAGACGGCCCCAAGAGGGCCCAAGAGGCCTCAAAGACGCCCAGGAACGCCTCCAAGACGGCCCTGGAGAACCCCAAGAGGGCCCCAAATCGGCCCAGAGAGGCCCCCAAGACGGCTTCCGACGGCGTCAGACGGGCCAGGAGCCCACCAGGCCGGCCCGAAGATTGCTCTAAGATGACCCAAAACGGGCCAAGAGGCTCTGCCTTGGATGTTTGAGAGATTTGGAAATCTGTTTTTTTCCGGCCTACCGACGGCCCGAGACCACTCAAGAGCCCCCAAAGATCCCCCCAAGATCGCCCAAGAGGCCTCCAAGATGGCCCCAGAACGGCCCAAGAGGCCCCCAAAATGGCTCCAAGAAGGCCCCAAGACGGCACAAGAGGCCTCTAAGACGCTCAAGAAAGCCTCCAAGACGGCCCTGGAGCACCGCAAGAGGGTCCTAAGTCGGCCCAGAGGCCCCCAAGACGGCTTCCGACGGCGTCAGGCGGGCCAGGAGCCCACCAAGACTGCCAAAGAGGCCCCCGAGAAGCCACCAGAGGCCCCCAAGAGGCCCAGGAAGGCCCCCAAGATGCCTCCAAGAGGCTCCCAGGGAGCTCCCAGGAGGCCCCATGAGTGTCCCCAGAGGCTCCCAAGATGCCCCCTCCTCCTCTTACTCCTCCTCCACCTCCTCCTCCGCCTCCTTCTGATCTTCCCCGCCATCCTCCCCCAAGTGTTCCACGAAGGGTTTCCACAACGGTTAGGGTTTCCACAACGGTTGGGGGAACACATGGTCCGATAGCTTGGCAGAGCTCCTGCCACAACGCTGGGCCACATGGGCGATTCGAGAAGGCAAGGGGCGGTGGTGATTCGCCGTAGGCGTCTTCGATACGGAAGGTTTCGCGGTCAGGAACCAATCCTCCTCCTCCTCCTCCTCCTCCTCCTCCTCCTCCTCCTCCTCCTCCCTGCCACGGAGCGCTCTGCGGATGGTAGCACACAGTTGCGTTCTGGTCAGGATGTCGAGGCGGATCCAGCCCTAACGGCGAGCGCGCTCCAGGATCCCCCCAACCACTCCCTACAGTCGTCGTGCTACCAGAAGGGACGCTGAATCCCAACAGCCCTTTACCTATCGGTCGGAAGACATATGAAGCAACACGACGTAGGAAGGCGTTGAGCATACATATATATACATAAATATGAACAGGTGAAGCCACTCGATCATTGAAGTAGGAAGGCGCTTAGAGGAGATTGGAATCTGGGATTCAAAAAATACCTACTCTCGACGGCCGATGGGTACAGTCGACCTGTATCACAAGGATGCACATTAAGGATGCACGGGCCTTGGAAGGCCGCTTCGAAGCTTGTCGAGCGGGGCGCGGACAACAACAGTTGCAGAGTATGGGCCGAGGAGCCGAGAATGCAGTGGTACCCTTGGGAACATCGCCCATCCTTGCTATGCGGGTTGACTGTGCCATACGGGACGCTGAATCCCACCAGCCCTTTGGGGCATTAATGGTTTCGGGGGGTTCCTCTTCAACCCCCTCCCTTTTCCCCTTCCTCGCCATCGCTCGGACGTTCATTCCCCGTGGATGTTTCGATTTCGTGCGTGTATTTTCCGCTAACGGATAAGAGATGTTCCTCGATGGTCCTCGCCGAGAAAAAAAACACACACGTCCGAGCGACGCCAGGCTTCGGGGACCCTGCCCCATTCCCTGGACCTGGACGGGGCGCCCCGCGGGGGGCTGGAGCTGGCCTCGGCGAGAAGGCGCGACTCGTTGATTTCACGGAGGCTTTGGGCCCCCTTTGGCCTTCTGGGCGGGGGGGGACGCCAATTGAGTACCCCCACCTCTTTGATCGACCTCCTCCAACATAGCTCCCAAGGCTCCCAAGAGGGCCCCAGGAGGGCTTGAGAGGCCCCTAGGAAGCCCCAAGAAGCCCACAAAAAAGGTCCCTAAGAGGCTCCCGAGAGACCCCCAAGAGGCTCCCCCCGAAGCCTCCGAGACGCTCTTAAGAGGACCCCGGGACAGCCAATTTGCCCCCAACACGCCCCAAAAGGACCCCAAGAAGCGTTGAGAGACATCCGAAGAGACTCCGAGAGGCACCCCAGAGGCCTCTGGTTATTCTGCTCGCCCTGCTCCTCTTCCTCCTTTTCATTGTTCTCATTGTTCGCCTATTCCTCCTCCTCGTCCTCCTTCCTCCCTCCTCCTCCACCTCCCCCTCCTCCCTCTTTCTCCTCCTCCTCCGATTTCTCCTCCATCCTCCCCATCTTCGGGCACGACGGTTTCCCAAGCCCTTTATTGCACTGCATGCTCCTCCACATCCCTGATCTGGGCAACTCGCCTGGGGATCGCCTCTGGATGTGCTGATGGGGCTACTTTTTTGATCGCAAGCGAAGCGGAGGAGCCGAACGCCGTCAGGACATCGCAAAGCAGCATGCCACGATCTAAATTAAGCCGCGAGCGGCTGATGGGATTACTTTTTGGTTCGCGGCTCCCAGGAGATGTCCAGGGAGCGGGCTTCACGCCTGGGGCACAGAGCGAGATAATTGGCCGCACAGGCGCGTAGGCCGCCGAGGCGAGTGCACATGCCAAGGACAAAATGACCCTCATTGGAGGTGACCGGCGCAGTCATCCCAGCGGATGCTGATGGGGTTACGCGAAGCGTCTAGAATAAGGAACGAAGGGCCTTTCCTTGCCACGGCGAGCCTCGGTCACGAATAGGCTCCCCGATCTGGATCTTCGGAACGGCCCGAAAGCAAAGGCACCTCGTTGACCCAAAATGCTGATTATTTCAGCGTCTTCTAGGTCCGAGGGGAGCAACCGGTGACATGAATATAAAAACTCGGAGGTCCGCGCGGATTTCTCGGATCGGCGCTTCCTCCTCTCTGGCGCGCTGGGGGCGCCATGGCGGCGCCAGATGCACCGCCAGGGAGGCCCGGCCCGATCCAGGAGATCCGCGCGGAGCTCCGACAGTTTATGCTTGTGCAGCTTCTTCGTTTTCAATTGACCCCAACTGGTACTTCTTTCGGCATCTTGGCTGTACCTTCTCCTTTCCTTAACCCCCCCTTCCGTCCTTCCGGATGCATCGGCGACGCCTGTGGTACATCGTCGACGCCAGCGCCGAGCAAATCAGGCTCCGCATCGAGCCGCATCGGCGATGCATCGGCGATGCAGCGCGATCCTTCGACCCCACCTACTCGGACCCCAACTGGGAGGCCTAGACTACTTCCTTCGACCTCATTAACCCAAACTGCTCTGTATTTCGGCGTCTTTGGCCGTACCTCCCCTAAGACGAAGCCAGGACGAGGGTAACATCGGGTGAAGATAAATCGGGAATCTCAGAGATCCGGCGGCTCTGGAGGATGTATCGGGCGCTGCGGCCTTCTCAGAGCGTTCTGGAACGCTCCGAGACCGTACCGGAACGCACTGGAACGACTTTATCCTCGTCCTAGCCTCTCCGGATTCCCCTCCCTAGAGCGCATTTTTATTCGCGGCCAGAACGGGCGTTTTGGGAGAGGATGGGGGGGAGACGGGAGGGGGCACAAGCAGCGTAGCGCCCCCCCTCCCAGACTGTGGTGCCGGACGCACTGCGGCAGTTCCGGGGACGCACTGAGGGGGGGAGCGCTACGTTATGGAGGGGATGGGGGGGGGAGGGTAGGGGGGCACACCACGCATTATGGCCTAGAGGGTGACAAGAACGCTCTCGAAATTGCCCTCCCCAATTCCGGCCGACCGGAGCCACGCGCACGGGGCCAGCTCACGCGAGGGCGTGCGCGAGCAGGGCCGCGAGCCCAGCCAGCAGCCCGGCGCCGAGGCGCCGGTTCGCCGCGCTCCACGTGCACTGCATGCGCTCGCTGATGACCGGGCCGACCTCCCGAGGACTGAACTGTCAAGCCATCTTATCTATATATATATATATATATATATATATTTATAGAGGCCTCCTAGATGGGGTCGAAGGATCGCGCTGCATCGCCAATGCATCGCCGATGCATCGATGTTGGCGCTGCATTGGCGCCACCGGCGTGGCGAAAGTCGGGCTACGCATCGAGCCGCATCGGCGATGCATCGGCGACGCGGCGCGATCCTTCGACCCTATCGACTTCGACCCCATCTGGGAGGCCTACATGATTAGGACGCACGATAAGTATGCAAGGGCCTTGGAAGGCCATGCCGACACCTTGCGAGCGGGGCGCAGCCAGCGAAAGAGGCCCAGGATGGACCGAGGAGGCCAGGATGCAAGGGGTACCCTTGGGAAGGTTGCCATCCTTCCTCTGCGGGTTGCCACATGATTCTGATCGGGCCGACCTGCAGAGGACTGTACAATAGGAACCCGACCACAAGAAACCTTCAACAAGAAACCCAGCCTGGAGGCCCCACAATGTTAATTGTTTTTGGGGATGGGGGCGTCACGTTCCCCATCATAGAATCATCGAACCTAGGACCCCCAGGGCACCCTGGCGGCAAGCAGGGTGTTTCTTGGCGTGGGCTTGTACTGTAAGCTGGCGAGGGCATGACCGCCAGCAGGCGCCAAGCAGACCTCGAAGCATTTTTTGGGCGAGGGGGACCTTCGAGAGCGCCCCCACGGATCCCTCTGCAAAGTTCATGCCCCTACGGTGCCACGTAGGGAGTTAAACTTTCCGACGGCCCAGGGGGGCAGGCGTCCACGACAACGGACAGTTCTTCGCCCCCCTGAGAAAGATTTTGCCGACGTCAGCTTGCATCCAAGTGGCTTGCGCCAGCCCGCCGAGCCCCAGGGGAGCAAGGAAAGCCCTCGGGTGGGGCCTTGCTTGCCTCTCGGGAACCGCTTGAGGGGCCTAGTTCGGCGCTCGTTCGGGCCTCTCGGGGGCCTCTCGGGGATCTGCTGCCGACCTTCTGACGCTCCCATCAGACGGAGCCGAAAGTTCTGTGTCATGCGGCCCTTCGCCCCTGAACGCTCGGAGCTCCGCGCGGGCATCCCTGCTCGGCGCCAGACTCCTCCGTGGTGGCGCCTCCCCCGCCGTCGCCCCCCCCCCCCCCCCCCGGGGCGCGCTCCGCTCGCGCCGAGGGGGGGGCGCCCCGCGCCGAGCCAAGAGATCCGCGGCGATCCCACCCTCCTCCTCCTCCTCCTCCTCCTCCTTCTCCTCCTCTCCTCCTCCTCCTCCTCCTCCTCCTCCTCCCTCTCCTCCTCCTCCTCCTCCTCCTCCTCCTCCTCTCCTCCTCCTCCTCCTCCTCCTCCTCCTCCTCCTCCTCCTCCTCCTCCTCCTCCTCCTCCTCCTCCTCCTCCTCCTCCTCCTCCTCCTCCTCCTCCTCCATACAGGCGGACCTGGGCCAGATGAACCTCCCCCAAGAACGTGGGACCCTCCGTCGGCCAGAACACACTGAGCAGCCAAGGGTTCCCCCCCCCAGGAAGCACGAGAACATCCAACAAGCACGAGAAACATAAGGATGCACAAGAGCATCCAACAACTACGAGAACAATGAGGGTACCTCGGTCCCACTGCAATGCCTATGCCCTTCTGTTTTGTCATCTACGACCTGCGTCACGATGTCGTCGGCGGCCTCCTGCAGCGCGGCGACCTCGCGGGACCGAGCTCGGCTCCCCGACAGACTCGCGTCGCGAGCAAGAAGAAACGGCATGCTTGGAATGTCTGCCCTGCCTCCGGGGACCCTTGCCGGGGCCTCGAGAACCGTCGGACAAAGAATGACTCGGGACGAAACACGGGGAGCCAAACTTCCAGGGGCGCGCGGCACGGATCACGGAGCGAAACGCGTCTCGTGGACGCTGGCCTGGAAAAAAAACACCCTGATGATCAACGAACAACACAGACGCAAACCGATAGGGAGGAATGGGGAAGGGAAGGGCGATGAACGTGCTACAAGTATGGGTGCGAGTTGTGGTCCTGCGGAGTGAGGCACCGCGGGGATCTGAGCGAGACCTCGCCGTCCCTGGGGGGCTGCGATCTGCGACTCTGTCGCCAGGTTCGAAGGCTGCTGGTGGGTCCTGCGGACTGAGGCACCGCGGGGATCTGAGAGAACTCGCCGTCCTTGGGGGGCTGCGATCTGCGACGCTGTCGCCACTTTCGAAGGCTGCCAGTGGGTCCTGCGGACTGAGGCACCGCAGGGATCTGAGCGAGACCTCGTCGTCCCTGGGGGGCTGCGATCTGCGACACTGTCGCCACTTTCGAGGGCTGCTGGTGGGTCCTGCGGACTGAGGCACCGCGGGGATCTGAGAGAGAACCCGCCGTCCCTGGGGGGCTGCGATCTGCGACGCTGTCGCCACGTTCGAGGGCTGCTGGTGGGTCCTGCGGACTGAGGCACCGCGGGGATCTGAGCGAGACCTCGCCGTCCCTGAGGGGCTGCGATCTGCGACGCTGTCACCACTTTCGAGGGCTGCTGGTGGGTCCTGCGGACTGAGGCACCGTGGGGATCTGAGCGAGACCTCGCCGTCCTTGGGGGGCTGCGATCTGCGGCGCTGTCGCAACTTTCGAGGGCTGCTGGTTCGTCGTGCGGACTGACGCACCGCGGGGATCTGAGCGAGACCTCGCCGTCCCTGGGTGGTTGCAATCTGTGACGCTGTCGCCACTCCCGAGGGCTGCTGGTGGGTCCTGCGGACTGAGGCACCGCGGGGATCTGAGCGAGACCTATCTGAGCGAGACCTCGCCGTCCCTGGAGGCTGCGATCTGCGACACTGTCGCCACTTTCGAGGGCTGCTGGTGGGTCCTGCGGACTGAGGCGCCGCGGGGATCTGAGAGAGAACTCGCCGTCCATGGGGGGCTGCGATCTGCGACACGGTCGCCACTTTCGAGGGCTGCTGGTGGGTCCTGCGGACTGAAGCACCGCGGGGATCTGAGCGACACCTCGCCGTCCCTGGGGGGTTGCGATCTGCGACGCTGTCGCCACCTTCGAAGGCTGCTGGTGGGTCCTGCGGACTGACGCACCGCGGGGATCTGAGCGAGACCTCGTCGTCCCCGGGGGGCTGCGATCTGCGACACTGTCGCCACGTTCGAGGGCTGCTGGTGGGTCCTGCGGACTGGGCACCGCGGGGATCTGAGCGAGAACTCGCCGTCCCTGGGGGCTGCGATCTGCGACACTGTCGCCACTTTCGAGGGCTGCGGTGGGTCCTGGGACTGAAGCACCGCGGGGATCTGAGCGAAACCTCGCCATCCCTGGGGGCTGCGGTCTGCGGCGCTGTCGCCACTTTCGAATGCTGCTGGTGGGTCCTGCGGACTGACGCACCGCGGGGATCTGAGCGAGACCTCGCCGTCCCTGGGGGGCTGCGATCTGCGACACTGTCGCCACTTCCGAGGGCTGCTGGCGGGTCCTGCGGACTGAGGCACCGCGGGGATCTGAGCGAGATCTCGCCGTCCTTGAAGTGCTGCGATCTGCGACACTGTCGCCACTTTCGAGGGCTGCTGGTGTGTCGTGCGGACTGAGGCACCGCGGGGATCTGAGCGAGAACTCGCCGTCCCTGGGGGGCTGCGATCTGCGACACTGTCGCCTCTCCCGAAGGCTGCTGGTCGGCCCAGCGGACTGAGGCACCGCGGGGATCTGAGCGAGACCTCGCCGTCCCTGGGGCGCTGCGATCTGCGACACTGTCGCCACTTTCGAGGGCTGCTGGTGGGTCCAGCGGAGTGAGGCACCGCGGGGACCTGAGCGAGACCTCGCCGTCCCTGGGGTGCTGCGATCTGCGACACTGTCGCCGCTTTCGAGGGTTGCTATTGGATCCAACGCAGTGAAGCACCGCGGGGACCTGAGCGAGACCTCGCCGTCCCTGGGGGGGCTGCGCTAGTAACCACTACGACGCCCTTATATCTTGATCGGGGGCCTGCGAGCCTTCCGATTGCTGCTCGCAAAATCACACACGTCCATGTTACGTCATTCATCGCCCCCGTTGTAGCAATCCTGACGTACTTATGCTACGCATGGCGCAAGGGTGGGGTACGTCGCCAGGGTAACTCCATAACGCGAGGGGCTCCAGGGAGGGGAGCGAAAACATCGAGACGGACAGGTCTTTCTTTGTCTCTTCGCCCGGGGGCCCTCGCCGGGCCACGGAGCCCGCACGACGACTCGGGATGGAACGCCAATCCCAGGGGGAGAGACCTCAGGGGGTCCATCTGCGAACAAAAAACGCGACCTCGGAGGCCTGGAGCTAGCTGCGGGGGGAAAAACATCGAGCTGGACTCGACGGTAGATCGGCGGTGGGCCCTTGATGACGAATCCGCACCCTCCTGGGCGAGGCGGGGTGGGCCATCGGGCCCCTGTCGGCGATCAGTGTGCGATTGGGGGTCGATGCACCCCCCTCTGAGCCTATCCACTGCTGGCTTTCGGGTCATACCTCTGGGCCTCCAGCGGCCGTTCAGGACGATCCGGGCACCCCCAGAATGCCGTCGGCGAGGCGCAACTGCGGAAAGGCATGCGGAGGCTGGAAAACGACCGAGAATCTATGAGAGCGCCCGAAACGATGACACCTCGAACACCCCCCCCCCAAGACCCTCGACGTGATGATTTTCTTCCTACGTCGACCCCCAGGGGTCTCGACCCCTTCCCCCGGACCGGTTTCTCATCCTGCGCCCTCTTTTGTGACGGCCCCGTGGCCCAGCGAAGGTCCCCCAAGAGGCCGAAGGCAGCGAAAGAACACTCCCGCCGTGAGTTTTGTCCACGGCCCGGGGGGGCCTGGGCCCAACGCTGCCCCTGCTCTCTGATGCCCTCTCGCTCGGGAGCCGCTCGGGGCAAGCCTCGGGCGGGTGGTACAGTGAAAACGCATAGTAAGGACGCGTGGTAAGGACGCAAGACCCTTGGAGGCCGAGGTTGAAGTATTCTGGCCTGCGAAAATTGCTAGGGACGGGCCGCAGAGGCTGAGGCAGGCAAGGACCCAAGGGTACCCTTGAAAAAGTCGTTTGTCCTTACTATGCGCGTTGACTATAAAGAAAAGGGCCCTCAAGGAGCGCTTTGGGACCCTTTTCAGAGCCAGCTGGTGCCCACGCGAGGCTGACCCTCCAGCGTGCTACAACATAGCCCTCCAGACCAGAAGACCCATCTGGAGTGCTGAACAAAAACTTCGACAGGGATCTGGACGCCAAGGCCTTGGTGCTATGTTTCTTAGCCCTCGTGGCAGCTCAGGGCTACCATTACCAGCCTGGAACATATCCCTATCCCTATGTTGGGCATCGCCTCATCACGATGGCGATCTTAGGGATTTCCTCAGTTTCTGAGGGTGTATCCCTAAGATTGTCATATCCTTTTAGCGTGTCAATCTTAGGGATAGGGATAGGTTCGAGGCTGGTGATACCACCCGCCCGAAAGCCTCCCCTGCGGCCGCTGCGCTGGGCACGGGGCCCGAGAACTGCCGGGCGGTCCCCAGCCAGGGGCACGCGGCGCGGCCCCGACCGCTATCGGGTGTCCGCGCACGCTTCGAGCAGGAGATCGACTACAGTGAATCTATCCGCAGGTCGGGCATGTCCTCCTACTGGCGGAATTTCAAAGGAAAAAAACATCAAACAGTGGGCAGAAACAGTCAAAGATCGTCCCCATACGATTTCCAGACTATTTTTGAATATTCCTCCTGGCTCTAATCTGCCCCAGGATTATTTTTATTACGGTTCGAATCTGTAAGAAATGCGTAGAATGTTCGCAGATCGCGAACGTTCTACGCATGCTTCGTGCCCTCGACGACCAAAAACAATTTTGCGGCATGCCCATTCTGTTGGTCGATCTCCTAATTACTCGAACGGGGGTGCTACAGGCGCGGGGTGAAGGAACGTGCGCCTTTCGTGCTCCTTTTGGGCCAGCGCGGTGGCAGCTCAAGTGCCGTTCGGGGCACCTTTCGGGCCACACTCCCGCAATTCTAGCCACGCACGCGATGCATACGAGAAAAGGGGGCCCAAAACCGAGAGCGGCCGCAGATGGGCAGGTGGCCTTCTGTCTCAAAGGGGCAACGACCGCGGCGACGCCGACAACGAACCCGGTCCCTGACTGCTTGAAAAGAAACACCACAGACATAAACTTTTGGCGCTCCGCGCGGATTGCTTGGATCTGCGCTGGACCCCCCTCCCTGGTGTGCGGAGCGCGCCAGGGGCGGCGCCGCAGGCGCCGCCTAGGGCGCCCAGGCGCCGATCCAAGAACTCCGCCAAAAGTTCATGTTCATGGCGCTTTCTCTTCGAGGGGAACAAGAGCTGTTGTTGGACTTTGTGCCCACTGTCTCTGCACCCGTGCCGACCGCCCCGAGCAGCATCCTCGCCCCCCAGTGCCGTCCGCCCCAGATCTGGCACGGGCTGGCGCCAGGACCCGCGCCCCGCGGGCGCTCCATAGAGTGTGGGGACGGGGGCCCGGCGCCGGCGGCGAGATCGTGCGCGGACGTCTGGAGCTTCTGTTCGTGCGGTGCTCTAGAGCCGGAAAGGGTATCATGATAAGCTCGGCTCAAGATGCGTTCCAAGATTTCCAGAGAGTTACTGGAGGGCCTTCGTTTCTGCAGCCTGGGTGGGGGCATGGGGAAGTCCAGGAACTACTGGAAAGGATGAAACGCATAATTATCTTGACCTCTCGCTCCTCTGATTTAGGTTCGTGCGGTTTTTGATTTTCAGCACCTGTGTCGTGGCGAGGGACATGAAGTCCTTGACCATGTCGATGACCTGGGGGGTGATGGGGTAGATCTTGCTCATATGTGGGAGCATCAGCTCGGACAGCTGCCAGACCTCGTGGAAAGAAGTGTGCATGCTGGACAGCCTGACGTTGTAAGTTGTGATGTTGGACATGAGCCCAGAGATCTGAGCGCATGCGGTCGCCTGATCAGCAGAAGCCAGGGTGCTGGCGTTCATTCTCAGTGGAATCGCCTGGGCGCGCATCTGGCGGATGACAGGGAAGAAAGCTACGCGCAACTCCTTTGGCATGACGACGTTGATGTCCCTGGCGGTCTTCTCCGCATCGGACACCATCGACCTAACGCGGAAGGAGGCCTCGTGGAAGTACCGTGTCATCAGGAACGCCAACTCCACGTCCGATGCCCTGCTGCTGGCCGTCACGAACTTCGTGGTCTTGCGGCGGGTGATGTTTAGGAAGTCCTGGACGGAGTTCGCGATATCAATCTTTGCCTTGCCGAGGCGCTTGTTGAACAGCGGATTATCCACAGCCTTGGGGAGAGCCATGAGCACATCCAACATCAAGCCAAGGGTGTAGTCGCCCATCAGATTATCAAACTCTCCAGAATGTCCATGCGCGGACATCAGGGTCTGCGCCTTCTTGATCATAGCCTCCCTGGCAAGGCGCTTGGCAGTTACGACCGCCATGCGCTCGTCCTCCTTCAACTTCTTCCTCTCCAATATGACCTTCCGTCGCCTCTCCGCCTCCTTGCGCAGATCCTTCATGGCAAGGGTGGCCTCCTTCTTCGCGAAATCGAGCTCTTTCTGGTGCGCCTTGAAGTTTCGAAGCGCCGCCTTTAAATCATTTGTCTTCACCTTGAAATCCTCCTGCAAGAGTGGGATGATCACGTTCAGGGCGGCGGTCCGGTTGTCCGTGTCCCAAGGGTGGCGATGGGTCTTGTTCTTGCGCTTCTTCGGCCTGTACTGCTCTATCTCTCCCAGCAGGTCTCCCAAATTGACGCCGTCGGCAAGCTCGCCCCCGTCCCCGAAGTGATCGTCGACGAATCTATCGAAGGAGCTGGACTGGGAATCCTCCCCAGCCTCTTGAAGTACGCCCTCATCCTCGATCAGGGCACTCTCCGCATCCCGAAGCATACCATCCTCATGAAGAAGGCCCTCCTCGTCGAAAATACTCCCCCCCTCGCTGCTGGGTGACAGCCCAGAAGCCGCAAGCGCAAAGCATGCGATCAAAGCTGTTCTCACCATGCCTCTGCAAGATATCGAGGTACTATGAATAATGTGGTTGGAAATGTGTTGTGGTATCAACGACACACTGCTCCTGAGGCCGAAAGGGTCGCGGAGTAGGGCAGGGAAGGCCGAGGAGAAGGACGGTCCAAATGTCGCCCCATGACGGTTCCGAATATCTCCCGACGCGGGGTTGTTCGTGTCGTGACGACTTCCGCGGTGGCTGTCGACATCGCGTGGATCGCGTTGCGTCTTGGGCGATCGCGGCCCCCCGATCGAGGGATCGGGCGGTCTCGGCCTGTCGCGGGCCAATTGAGAGGCGCTCATGCGACCGCACAGAACGTTCGAAACCGGCCGACCCCCTTGCCGTCGCTCGGACGTCCACTTCCCGTGCATGTTTCGGTTTCGTGCGTGTTTTTTTTCACTCGATGATCCAGGATGTTCCTGAAGGGTCCTCGCCAACAAATTACCCTGTGACGTACCCAACCTTGTATCAATGGAAACGAGAAGTTGGCCGAAACTTGCATGGACAATCAACTTGATGTGTAAGCTACTTGGGACACGCGCCTATGGCATGATGCGCAGGAGAACCATACAAGAACGAGGGGCGACAGCTACACAGGCTCGAAGAGGACATGGGGAGTCGGGAACGCAGAGCAGAAGAAAAACGGGCGGGAAGCCGAACCATCAGCACGGCAGCAGCAGAGGGAAGGTGACTGCAGGAGGAGAACAAGGACGAAAGCGGCGTCTAATTTGATTCTGCGGTGGGTACCCACTGTGCTGGGCCCCCCAGCAGGCCTCGAAAGTGGCGACACTTTCACAGATCGCAGCCCCCCAGGGATGGCGAGGTCTAATTTGAGTCCGCGGTGGGTACCCACTGTGCTGGGCCCCCCAGCAGGCCTCGAAAGTGGCGACACTTTCACAGATCGCAGCCCCCCAGGGATGGCGAGGTCTAATTTGAGTCCGCGGTGGGTACCCACTGTGCTGGGCCCCCCAGCAGGCCTCGAAAGTGGCGACAGTTTCACAGATCGCAGCCCCCCAGGGATGGCGAGGTCTAATTTGAGTCCGCGGTGGGTACCCACTGTGCTGGGCCCCCCAGCAGGCCTCGAAAGTGGCGACAGTTTCACAGATCGCAGCCCCCCAGGGATGGCGAGGTCAAAGGCAGGGGGGAAGAGAGGGACGGGAAGGAAGGAAGGTTCGCGCGAGCAGTGCTCTATTCAAAACGAGAACCCAACGCAGGAGGGTTGGGAAAAACACACACACGCGTCCGAGCGATGCCAGGCCCCGTGGCACTGCTGGCGTTCAGTCTTGAACGCCCGTGCTGGGGTCGCCGCAGCGTCGACGCGACACGAAGCTGTCGTACCGTCCTGCTCGGCAGAGAAGGTACGAAGAGAACGCGGTCTCAACGGATGATCGAGAGGATTTGCAGCAGGGGCTCCACAAAACTGCTTGTCTGCGCTGCTGCAATGCAGATGCGAACTGCCGCCAGGTGGGACACGCTGGCCTAGCGCAGCAGGCTTCATACAAGTCAGACGTCCGTCCAATGCATCAACCAACTCCTTCGTATGTTTTCATCGGCGGCGAGCGAGGGGGGACGTGAGAAGGAGAAGGCCTTTTCAGAAGGCGGCAGAGCTTCTGCGAAGCCCGCCGGCCTTCTGAGAAATGTTCGGTGTCTTCGGGGAAGGCTTAGAACACTTCTCAGAAGGCCAGGGGGCTTCCGAACCTTCTGAGAACAGACAGACAGACAGAAGCCATACGCCCAAGGCGCGTCGGCAAACGCACATTCATACACTACACACACCGCTCTCTCAATCTATGTCTCCAAATAAGAGGATCTTGAACAAGATCTTGCAATCTGTCTCCTTCTCACTGCCCCCCTTCGCTCGCCGCAAATGTTAAACTTCTCCTTCTGCTTTTGGGGGACGCTGCGCACGATGTCCCCTTGCCCGTGCCAGCAACCGGCACCCACGATTCTGCATGCGACGCCGGAACTGCGAGATCACGAACACGATGGGCTGCACACCACGGGCCCTCTCGGGCCACGGCATGCCGGCCGGATGCTTCACACCACGCATGCCGACGATCAGAAGGCGGGGCATGAGAGCGTGTAGCCGAGGGCGCGAGGGCGCTCCAAGCGCTCCCCCGGCCGAATGAAAAAGACAAGCTCAAGTAAAGCAGGCAGAGCTGCCTCAAACAGACAGACAGAGCCCGCGCGCGAGTCCACGTGAGTGGGCTTGGCGGGTCGGGGGCAAGGGCACTCCAGAAGCCAGCCGCGATTTTCGCCCGCTGAGTAGTCGAAGCCATCTTTATCCATGAAGGGTCGCTCGTGTACTTCGCAATGCCGTTCGCCCATCGAGTGCTTGGTCGCGCTTGTTGGCGATATGCAGATATGTCCAAACGTATTATCGCACCCCAGACCAACGCTCTGGAGTTCAGCAAAACATACCCGATCCCTTTGTAATACTGCTCCGAGTTTGCCTCATAGCATGCCCGAGACCTCAAAACTGCGCCAAGAAGAACGGCAACGCCCACCCCCACTCCACACGGTCCTGAGAGGACGTCGACGACCCAACACGAAGTGGGATGACGCGTCGGGACAGCCTGGCAGATACTCCAAGTCTCACAGCGTAGACCATGGATAGCCACTCGGTGAACAACCGAACCGAGCGATTGCCCCCCCCCCCCTGCAGACAAACAGACACCCACACAAACACACACACACAGCACGCACGCACGCACGCACGCACGCACGCACGCACGCACGCACGCACGCACGCACGCACGCCACGCACGCACGCACGCGCGCGCACACACATGAAAGCACGCACGCCCGCACGCACACACAGACATACACGCACCACACGCACACACAAACGCACGCACGCACTCACGCACACACAGGCATACACACACCACACACACACACACCCACACACGCAGGCGCACACGCACACACAACACAACACAACACAAGACACCACAACAGAACACAACACGGCACAGCACAGCACACCACAACACAACCCACACGACACCTGCACCCACACGCCCATACCCACGCCCACGCCCACACGCACACGCACACGCACGCTCACACGCACACGCACACGCAGACGCGCAAACGCACACGCACACGCACACGTGCACGCCATCCCCCCCCGCACACACACAAACAAACACACACACACACACGCACACACAAACACACACAGACACACCCACACCCAAACACACACCCACACACACCCACACGCACACCCACACCCACACACACACACACTCACACCCACACCCACCCACACACCCGCGCACCCACGCACCCACGCACCCACGCACTCACGAACCTACGCGCGCACGCACGCACGCACCCACCCACGCACCCACGCACCCAAGCACCCACGCATCCACGCATCCACGCACCCGCACCCACACCCACGCACACGCACACGCACACGCACACGCACACACACACACACATACGCACACGCACGCGCACGCGCTCACGCACACGCATACGCACACGCACACCCGCACACGCACACGCACACGCACACACACACACGCACACGCACACCCACACGCACACCACACACCCACACCCACCCACGCCCACACACACACACCCACACCCACACCCATACCCACGCACACACACACACCCTCACACACCCACACACCCACACATTTACACACAAACACACGCACACGCACACTCACGCACACCCGCGCACCCACGCACGCACGCACGCACGCACGCACGCACCAACGCACCCACGTACCCACGCACCCACGCACCGACACACGCACCGACACACGCGCACGCGCACGCGCAGGCGCACGCGCACGCGCACGCACACGCACACGCACACGCACACGCACACGCACACGCACACGCACACACACACACACCACACACAAACACACACACACACAGACACACACACAGGCACACACACAGACACACACACAGACACACACACAGAAACACACAGACACACACACACAGACACACACACACAGACACACACACAGACACACACACACAGGCACACACACAGACACACACACAGACACACACAGACACACACAGACACACACACACACAGGCGCACACACACAGACACACACACAGACACACACAGACACACACACAGACACACACAGACACACACACAGACACAGACAGACAGACAGACAGACACACACACACACACACACGCACGCACGCACGCACACAACCACACACGCACACACGCACACACACATGTGCACGTGCAGACGCACACCCACACCCACACACACACACACACGGACACGCACACCCACACGCACACGCACACGCACACGCACACGCACACACACACTCACACACACACACGCACACACGCACACACACACACACACGCACACGCACACGCACACGAACACGCACACGCACACAAACACACACACACAAACACGCACACACAAATACACACAAACACACACACACACACACGCACACACACAAACACGCACACACGCACACAAACACACGAACGCACGCACGCACGCACGCAAACACGCACGCACGCGCGGACACGCACACTTGTGTCGCTCCAAGGTCGCTACATCTGTGCCGCGAGGCCCGACGACGCGCCACTGCTACACACTCACGGCCCAAGATTCTAGAACAAATGTTAAAATTTGCCGAATATTGAACCCAGGGATGAGCTCACGCGGCCCGGGCGGCTCCGAGGAGCCAGAAGGGCCGCCCAGGTGTTCCCGGAAAGCATCCTGGACCTCCCAAGCGGGCGGTGCATCCCGCTGGGGGGACGTCGAGCGCTGTGCGCGAGGGAGGAGCCCACCACGCCCGAGGAGGGGGGGAGCCTTCGCGAACTGGGTGCGTTCGCGTGTGCCCTCTGCGTAATCTTCCTCGTCGTCCTCCTCTTCCGCCATATCAGCATGTGCCCTGGGAGCGCACCCGTGTTGCTAACATGTGATTCAGGAGCGCGCCGCCACGACCCTAAGACTCCCCCGTGCAACCCAAAGGCGCAGATCCGCCACCGTGCTGTCTGGCACGCTGGCGCGTGGGAGAACGCCACGTGCTGCCTGACAAAGCTTCTGTAATCTTCTCAGGGCGCCACCCTCCCACAGCCGCACACTTCTGCATGCACCGCCTCCACTCTTGAGGCCGTGACTCCTCGTAAAAAATGGCTCCGCGCTCTGAAGCTTCTAAGACGGCCCAGACAGGCAGCAGAGGCCGCCAAGATGGCCCTGGATGCTGTCAAAGACGTCACAACAAGGCTCCAGGGCGCCCAAGATGGCCTCAAGACGGCCTGAGATACCAAAAAGAGGGCCCACGAGGGCCACAACAAGATTTCCAATAAAACCAACAAAAACCCAACATCAAAGGACGTTGCTCGCATTCTCGCCTTTTCCGGCTTCCGTCAGTTCAAGACTACCTCGGAAGCCTCCAAGACGGCTCGAAGACAGTCCCAGAGACCCCCGCGAGGGTCCAACGATGGCCCACGAGGACCCAATTCAACAACATGCCGAGCAATCTAACCAATGCAATGCACTCCAACGTACTGCCCAGCATTGCCAAACAATGCTGCTCAGGAAGCGTTCTCCTATGGGGATCGTGCCAGGCTCGCTTGATCAAGGCAACAACATACCTGTGCGCAGCGTGGACTCTCGCACTTCACGCGATATTCCATCGCATCATGTATCACGCTATGCTGACCATGCGCAATGCATAGTTAACCATGAAACGCCTACCAAGCTGAGCGCTCTGTGCATGCAATGCACTGAGCTACATGCACGCCGGTCCGCAAGCTGTACCAGCGGCGTGTGGCGGCGTATGCACGCGTGCAATAATACATCCTCCATGTGGCGCACGAGGAAGAGGGGACAGGTGTCCCGAATGTGGTGCGACTTGAGCAAGTCCAGTACCTCGCTGGGCAAGTTCTCTGACACCCTCGTCAAGTCGAACTCCTGGACGGAAAACCTGGGGACTTGGAACGGCCAAAACCATCACCAGAGCGGCCACGTTAAGAAATCTTACGCTTTCACCGGGTGGGTAATCCGAGCGGTAATCCGAATGGTCGGGGAGCAAAAACAATAGCAACAACACGCCGCCGTGGTGAACCCATCATCGTGTTACCGTTGAGGAAGCACCAGAGAGCAACGAAGGAAACACACTGACGGGCTACCAACGGCAGCGGGTCATTGACATTGATACTCTTCCTCGCTCCCGAAATTGGATCGACTCAGCCGTCGAGTCGGGAGAATCGGAGGGAAAGGGGCTGCAAGGGAGGGGAGGGAGGCGTCGTCGTCGTACGTTTTCACTCATCGCACTTGTTGTCGTACTCGTCGTTGCACTCGTCGTCGTCGTCATCGTCGTCGGCGTGCTCGTCGTCGAACTCGTACGCACTTGTCGTCGGACCCGTCGTCGTGGTCGCTGTACTCGTCGTCGTCGTCGTCGTCGTCGTCGTCGTACTCGTCACGCTCGTCGTCGCACTCGTACTCGGGAAGTTGCAATGTGGCCCTCGGGGGATGGCTCCAGGGGTGTGACCCAAGGGGGACTGAATGTTCTCCCTGGTTGGATGGGTAATTTCCTGGCTTGACGAGCTATTTCCCCGACGGGCAGGAGCAACTCCCAGGCCTCGATGGTTTCTTACAGCAATTTCTGCCTGGGTTCATCTTGGACCCGCTTCTGAGGAGCCTCTGGGGAGCCTTCTCTTTCTGGCCTCCGAGTGGCATCCAAGGCAAGCCTCTGAGGTGCCTCTGAGTGGCTTCTGCGACATGCTTCTGAGTGGTTTCTGAGACATGCCTCTGAGGTGCCTCTGGGGTCTCTGAAACATGGCACTGCGTGGCTTCTGGGATATGCCTCTGAGTGGCTTCTGGGACATGCCCCTGTGAGGTTCCTGGTTACTTCTGACAGGCCTAGCCCTATGAATAATGAGTGACTTCTCATAGGCCTCTGTGTACTTTCTGACAAGCCTCCGAATGGCGTCTGGCAGCCTCTGAGATGCTTATTGCAAACCTCTGAGTGGCTTCTGGAAGGCCTATGAGAGGCCTCTGGCAGGCCTCTGGCAAACTTCTGAAAGACATCTGAAAGGCTTTTGAGAGGCCTTCTAGAGGCTACCCGGAAGGCCTCTAGGAGGCGCCTGAAAAGCTTCTGAGGGCCCTCCGAGCGGCTTCTTTTGGGAGGCCCCTGAGAGGCCCGTGGGTGGCATGCGACGGGCGTACCAGAGGCCACTGGAAGAGCTTCTGGTAGAGATCTGTTGGGCTTTCGACAAGCAGCGCGCACGTGGGGCCCCTCCCCCGTGGGGGGGGGACAACTCACGCTCGGGCCAGCAGGCCGAGGGCCGACGACGAGGGCGGCAGCGGCGAGCGCCGACGGCGACGAGGGCGACGACGAGGGTGACGACGACGACGAGGAGGACGACAAGGTGTGAAGAATACGATGAGGATGATGAGAAGGAGGAGGAGGAGGAGGAGGAGGAGGAGGAGGAGGACGACGGCGGCGGCGAGGACGATGAGGAGGAGGAGGAGGAGGAGGCGGAGGAGGAGGACGAGGAGGAGGAAGACGACGACGAATCTGAGAAGGTCTCCCCCCTCTCCGCGGGAGGCCTCTGCCGCTCTTCGGGCGGGCCGCGCCGGCCGCCATCGTGACGCGGGCCCAACGGAGCGGCCAATGCCAGGTGGGGCCACCGCCAAAGGGGTCACCGGCTCATGCCGGGGATCGGAGAGGAGGGCGGGCCGAGGATCGATCGGGCTTCTCCTCGCCCCTCCTCCTCGACCCTCGTCCTCGTCGACCCTCGACCCTCGACCCTCCTCCTCGACCCCACTCGAGCCTCCCCCCCTCCTCGACCCTGGACATTCCCGGAGGACCTGGCTCCAACCGGGGATCGGAGAGGGGGGAGGGCCGAGGACCCATCATGCGGGCGCACCCGGGAGCCCTGGAGGGGCGCCGAAGGGGTTCGCGGGGGGCCTGCGCCTCCTCACGGAGCGCGCCGGGGGCGGCGTCAGGAGCGCTGCAGGGGGGCCCACGGCCGATCCGAGAACATCCGCGCGGGCCTCTGAGAAACTACACGTTACTCGGCGATGATTTGGTTCCCGTCGTGCTTGCGGACCACGTCCCGATCATACTTTCGAGCACCCAGACAGGTATCGAGATAGGGTCTGTCCGACACGCTGGCAAGGTGTCAAACGAGCATCGTCTCCCGGGGTCCGACACGGAAACACCCTCCAGTTTCGGTGTTCCCTCGGTGCTCGAAATTCTTTCTGATGGTCAAAGCTAAAGTAACCCTATGCTGGTGAGAATGGTCCCCTGGGGATAGTCAAGTTCGAAGTCCAAGCAGGGTAATATTTTTTCCTCGGTGATATCGATGTTCGGATGCCTGGATCGGTCTTCGAACCTCGACGTTTCGCCTGAGACATCCTCACAACAAGCTGATAATGAAGCATCACAACTCGGAAGGCGGACTTCGGAAAACACATGGAAACGTAGTAACAGACATATCCAAGCATAGTCAAGCAGTCGTCCCCCATACTATGTTCGACTGTGTTGGAAGATTCCTCCTGTGGAGGGACATGCCCGAACTAAGGCTAGGTTGGACCGTCACAACTCGAGGAGCAGGGTGACCGCCTTGGCGCTGCCCGCCCCCTGGCGCTGTCCGCACGCAGCGCAGCGGGGTGCTCCGCAGGCAGTGCCGCGCCGCGGGCCTGGCCTGGCGGGGGGCGGGGCGGGGACGGCTCCCTCTGCCGAGGAGGGAGGGCGCCCAGGGCGGCCTCGGCACTCGGCCCCTCCTCCCCCCCGCCCCCGTCGATCCTCTTCCTCGGCCCCCCACCGCCATCTCCCCGATCCCTCTCCTCCAACTCCTCGATCATCATGGATCCCCCTCGTCCTCCTCCTCCTCCTCCTCCTCCTCCTCCTCCTCCTCCTCCCTCGATTCTCCTCCCAGATCCTCCTCCTCGTTCCTCCTCCCCCTCCTCCTGGATCCTCCTCCTCCTGGATCCTCCTCCTCCTCCTCCTCCTCCTCCTCCTCCTCCGCTTCCTCGATCCTCCCCCTCCTGGATCCTCCCTCCTCCTCGATCCGCCTCCTCCTCGATCCTCCTTCTCCTCCTGGATCCTCCTCCTCCTCCTCGATCCTCCCCCTCCTGGATCCTCCTCCTCCTCCACCTCGATCCTCCTCCTCCTCCTCCTCCTGGATACCTTTCCTCCTCCTCCTCGACCCTCCTCTTCCTCCTCCTCCCAGCGCTCCGACTGCTGCGCAGGTTCTCTGTACCCTGCGGTGTTCGGAGCCAGGCGGGCCGCGACAGCCGCAGCCCAAAACCGATCCCGGGACCTCCTCCCGTGGGTCCAAGCGCACAATTGTTCGGCTGCTTCCACTCCGTGGCCACGAAAAACGAACGAGCGAACGCGCGCCAGGGTCGTGCACGCTCCGCGAGGGAGCCGCCGTGCCCGTCGGGACATGGCGCGGAGGCCGTGGCCTCCACACATGTGCTACGCACCGTAGGGGCTCGACCACAAGAGACCTCCCACAAGAAACCTAACCCAGAGACCCCAGGACCCCATTGCTTCTTGTTGGTGTGGGGGCGTCACGCTGCCCAAAGCACAACCATCGAGACCCAAGGAACCTGGGGCAGCCTGGAGGTAGGCAGGGCGCTTCTTTAGGCAAAGAACAGACGCCATAACAGAAATGTTCCGCGCGGGTTTCTTGGATCTGCGATCCACCCCCCCTCCCTGGCGCGCGGAGCGCGGCGCGACAGAGGGCGCAGCGCGGATCAAAGACACCCGTTCGGAGCGCCTCAAGCTTATGCTTATGGCGTTTTATCTTCTTCTCGATCCTCCTCCTCCTGGATCCTCCTCCTCTTCCCCCCCCTCCTCCTCCTCCTCCTGCTCCTCCTCCTCGATCCTCCTCCTCCTCCTCCTCTTCGATCCTTCTTCTTCTCCTCGCTGCTCCCACTTACCGCTGTGTGACCACCGTCGAGGCCGTGCCCACGGGGGGGCTGCCGCCCGAAGGCCCACTGCCGCCGTGACCTCCATCGGAACCCCCTCTGCGATGCGCGGGTGACGGTGGGACGTGGACGCGGAGGACAACGATAACGACGGCAGCAACGACAACGATAAACATATCAACAACTATATAACGACGATAACCGCGAACACAACGATAACAACGACAATGACAACGATTACCACGATAATACTGATCACAGCGACAACGATAACAACGATAACAGTGATAGCAACGACAACGGCAACAACGGCAGCGATAACAGCGACAACGATAGCAACGACAACGATCACAACGCTAGCAACGACAACGATAACAGCGACGGTGGGACGTGGACGCGGATGAGACGGGGCGGACAAGGATGGAACGAAAGGCGCCAAGACTACTCGCGCGCAGCCCCCGCACGGCGCGCAGGCAGGTCACCTGCCGCGGAGGGCCCACAGCTTCTGGGAGCCGATCGCCACGAGCACCGCCGAAAACAGCCACTGCAGCGGCTCCTCTGGCGCCTGCGTCGCCACGCTGCCGCCCACCAGTGCGCCCGCCGCCGAGCCCAGAGACAGCGGAAGCGCCATGCCTGGACGGAGGAGGAACGCCATGGTGCAGTGCAGTCAACCCGTGTCACAAGGATGCGCGATGAGGAAGCCAGGGCCTCGGGTACCCATTTCGAAGCTCTTCGAGCGGGGCGCGGCCAACGGAAGTGGCGGAGGATGGATCGAGGAGGCGAGGGACGCAAGGGGCGCCCTTGGGAAAATTGCCCATCCTTACTATGCGGGTTGACTGTATCAACTTTCGGAGTTGCGTGCGGATCTCTTGGATCGGAGCGCGCCGCCAAAGGGGGAGGGGGGGCCAGCGCCGATCCAAGAGATCCGCGCGGAGCTCAGACAGTTCATGCTGCTACAACTTTTTCTTCCCAGACCCCCCACGTCGTGACTTTTTCGCAACGCCGACCCCCAGGGGTCTGGACCCCGTCCCCAGGACCGACTCTTCGCCCTGAATCGTCTTTCGACGACCTCGCGAGGCCCGGCGAGGGCCCCGGGAGGCCGAACGCACAGCGAACAGAACCCCTGTGGCGATCGTGCTTCGCGACGCGGGGAGGTCTGGGCTCCTCGCGACGCCGGCGCGCACGTTCCCGAGCCGGCAGTGGGTGGCCAGGCTGACCAGGGAGGGCAGCACCATCGCCGCGAGCGAGGTGCCGAGGACCTCCGCGTGCCGCACTTCTCGGAGGAGGGGCAGCAGGCGGAGGCTGCGGGAGCCAGGCCTGGCAGGTCCTCCTACAGGCCGAGTCTGGACGAAGAAGTGGAGAGGGTCAAAACACGGTCAAACAGAGCCCAACATAGTCGAGAGCCCCCAAAAACCCTCCCCATCATATTTCGACTATTTTGGAATCTTCCTCCTGTGGAGGGATGTGCCCGACGTGACCCCAGAGCCCGCTCGACGTCCCCCTGAGATCCCGGGCGGCCAACTTTTGCTTCGCCCTGGCCGTTTTCGCTCGGTCTGAAAGCATTTCAAGAGGCAAACGTCGCCCCATTCCCTAGGGAAATCATCTATTCTGACATCTGCGCCTGTTGGGCTTCCACGGCGTCCAAGACCGCCCAGGAAACCCCCAAGATCGCCCCAAGGTGGCCCAAGAGGTTCCCAATAAGGCCCCAAGACGGCTCAAGAGGGGTGCCGGCCCCATCACGCATCGATCCGGCTAGAAAGCTGCCGCGCAAAGTTAAGCAAAAGCCCTGGTCGTGATGCTTCGCGCTGCTGCTGCTGCTGCTGCTGCTGCTGCTGCTTTTTCGCAGCGCCGGATCCCGAGGTCTGTCCCTGGACACGTCTGGCGGCGCGCACAAGGGGGTACGGGGAGGGGGGAAGGCCTCTTCGAAAGAGCCTGCTTCTGAGAAGGCGCTGGCCCTAGCCTTACATCTACAAACAGGACCCGCCGCTTCTCAGAAGCAGGAGGGCTTCTCAGAAGCAGGGGTGCTTCTGAGAAGCCGTCCTCCCTCCCCCCTACCCCCTCCTCCCCGTCGCTCGGACGTCCATTCCCTGTGTTTTTTTTCGGTCTCGTGCGTGGTTTTTTCGCCAAATGATCCAGGATGCTCCTCGACGGCTTTCGCCGACAAAGAAAATGCACACGTCCGAGCGATGCCAAGCCTCAACGCGTGGCCGACGCTTCCGAGGGGTCCGTCTTGACACGGTTTGTGACGCGGGCCCCGGCGCGGCGGCGGGAGGCCTCCGGGAGAGGCCCACCCGAAGCGGACGACAACTGGGAGCCCTCGGACCCGACGTGACGAACTGACTGCAGCGTCGCGAGAACTCACGACCCCAGACCCCCTCGAGCCATGAACAAATCACGACGGGAGGTCTCTTTCCGCATCTTGGGCCCATGGGGGGCCCTCGGGACCCCCGGACCGTCCAGGAGCGACTCGGGATGAAGCACCGGTCCTGGGGAATGGGTCGAGACCCCCAGGGTCGACGCTGTGAACAAATCGTGACGTCGGGGGGTCTGTGACTCGAGCACCGGGCCCCGCCTTTCCGTGGCATCCTCCGAACCAGAGCTCGATCTTCCGAGGGAGGACGGAGGAGGGAGGAGGAGGGGGAGTGGTGGGTGGCAGTTGGTGCCTGGAATGGTAGGTGGTGGCACGAATGCCTTGAGATGGGGGTACGGGTCACCCCCCCCCTACGGCCGTCTTCGTTGGCCGAGGACCGCAGAGGGGTCCTCGGCCCCCTTCGGTGCCTATTGACGGCAAAATTGAAGGTTGACTGGTGGGAGCGGGAACCCTCGCAACCCCATCGATGGAAGCTGCGAGGGGTGTGAGGCCTAATGGCGGTCCTCACCGACGAGGCCTATTGACGGTCCTCGCCGAAGGGAGGGGCGAGAGGGAGGGGGGCCACTCCGAGTGTCGATGCCGTCCGCGATGCCCGCGATGCCTCTCACTCCTGAGGCGGGATTCCTGCAAATGGGGGCCCACACACCAGCATACACAGTTTCGACTCCGAGACTGTGTATACGCCACACGCCCCGGAACCTCCAGGACAAACATTTTTTCACTACATCGACGGACCAGTTTCCGGTCGGTCCCCCGGCGTTGCGTTTCAGCATCCGTCGGTGGCAAACCCAGATCCAAACGCCAACTCGATCGATCGGCGTACCCCCTGGAATTCCCGAGGCAACGGCGTACCCCCTTGAATTCCCGATGCAACGGCGTACCCCCTTGAATTCCCGATGCAACGGGAAAGGCCTGAGCGGGCAGCGGCAGATAACAACCTAGGGGGGGAGGGGGGCGCAGGGAGGAGGAGGGGGAGGAGAGCGGCGGTATGCGGGGTGGGGGCGGGGGGGGGCCCAGGAAAGCGGGGGGGGGGGAAAGGGGGCAGGCAAAGGGCCAGAGCGGGGACGGGGAAGAGAGGGGTGGGGGGGACAGAGACTGAAGTCAAACGTAGATTTGTGGCCCCAAGGGATCCTGGAGGCATGTCTTCTCGATTGGTTGGCGGGGAGTGGGCACGACCGCACGAGTGCCACTACAGCGCGGGTCGAGCCATCACCCTAGGTGGGCGGGGAGAGGGACACGACCGCATGAGTGCCACTACAGCACGGGTCGAACAGTCACCCTTGGTGCACTGGTGGCCCAAGTGCCAAAATGTAAAGGCTGACTGACATTGACAGGCACAATCAGCCGGCAGGGGAATAAATCCCGTTCACGGCCCAAAGGAGGATAGATGTGGTGGGTGGCAATTGGTGCGTGGAATGGTAGGTGGTGGCACGAATGCCTTGAGATGGGGGTACGGGTCACCCCCCCTACGGCCGTCTTCGTTGGCCGAGGGACCGTAGGGGGGTCCTCGGCCCCCTCCGGTGCCTATTGACGGCAAAATGGAAGGTTGACTGGTGGGAGCGGGAACCCTCGCAACCCCATCGATGGAAGCTGCGAGGAGTGTGAGGCCTAATGACGGTCCTCACCGACGAGGCCTATTGACGGTCCTCGCCGAAGGGAGGGCGAGAGGGAGGGGGGCCACTTCGAGTGTCGATGCCGTCCGCGATGCCCGCGATGCCGCGAGGCGGAGGGAGGAGGAGGGAGGAGGAGGAGGAGGAGGAGGAGGAGGAGGAGGAGGAGGGAGGAGGGAGGAGGAGGAGGGATGGCTCCGGGGCCCGACGGCCGGGCGAGCGCGCCCTGGTTCGACAGAGGTTGCGGCATCCGGCTCTCAGAGGGGGCCGCCGTTGTCTCGACTGGCCCTCCTCCGAGCATCTCCGTCGCCGCGCACAGCGCGGGCGTCACCACGACGCCGCCGCCCACTCCGAACATGCCGGACGCGAAGCCCGCGGCTGCGCCGACGGCGACCAGCTTCGGCAGCGAGGAGGACGACCCGCCGCCGTCGCCCCCCGCGGGCTCGGATTGCCTCCTCTCGCTGGAAAAGCCGGAAGCTGCAGCAGCAGAAATAATATTTCGGAAAGGTGTTTGTGGATTTTTTGGGGGAATTTGGTGTTGGACTCCCCCCCTGTCAACGCAACGCGCGCCAAGGGAGGCGCCCGAGGCGCCGCCCGGGGGGGGGGCCATTGATGGGGCACGTTAGGGTGGACCAGCTTAGGGGGATGGGAGAAGGTCGAGCTGGAATCGGCAAAACCTCGCCGATCGGCGATAGGCTCCCAATAGCGAATCCGCATGCTCCTGGGCGGGGTGGGCTATTGGGCCCATATGGGGGGGATGGGGGGTCGATGCGTCCGTCCGCCCTTGAGCCCACCGAACGCTGCCCCTGATTTCGGCGCTGGCCCAAGAGAGCGTCGCGGACCTCCGAAAATTTAGGTTTACGGGGGAACGAAACAATACCAATGCCGCTAATACGTTTAGGTCGGACGTGTCCTCTTACAGGCGGATTTCGGACAACAAATACGAAAAGCCTTGCAACTATGAAACAAATCAGAAATAGTGGCACATTTTCCCGCGACTATTTTTCACTATTTCTAAATTCCTCCTGTAGAGGTACACGCCCGACTTACTACTACGTACGCGGACCTATCCAGCTGGCGTTCTGACCAATTCACGGTCCGTTCTTTGAAGGTCCTGGGGCCCCGGGCCCCTGGGGGCCTAAAAAACGGCCAAAAGCCTCCCGCCGCGACTTTGAGTCGCGACGCGAGCAAATCTTGGTCGGGAGAGAGCATTTTCGAACTCGCCGCGATAGCGAGCGTTAAATAGGGCGGGGGAGGGGGGGGGGGGGCGGGGGGCATCACGTGACGCCCCCACCCCCCCCGCCGTGGGTCTGGCACCACAAACTGTTGTGCGCGACGCACTGCGGCAGAGCCGGGGACGCACTGGGGCTGGGGAGGGCATTGTGGAGAGGGAGGGGGGGTGGCATCACGTGCGTTGTGGCCCAGACGTCGTGACTTTCTCCACACGGGCTCCCCGTAGTCTCGACTCCTTCCCGAGGACCGCTTTTTCATCCTGGAGTCGTTTTCTGACGGTCCAGGGGCCTCGCCCAGGGCCCCCAAAGTCGAAAACGGCGATAAACCTCTGTCGATACGTTGGATCTCTCGGTACCTCTTCCTCCTCCGAGCTTGTGCAGCTTGTCGGCTTTTCGGCTCACGCACCAGCGCGCCGCGGAGCGGCACCACCGGGGCGGCGGCCAGCTGGAAGCAGGCGAAGGCCCGACCCAAGGCCACGCCGCTGAACTTTGCGGCGATCGGCGGTCTAAAGATGGAGCCCTGAGGGATTGGGCCCTCAAGTACAGTAGGTTCGTGCGGCGTCAGCGCGCGCCAAGATTTTTGACACCGCTTCGGATCGTTCAGCCTTGAACCGAGCACGGCCCCGATCATTGAAAATTTAATCTCGTCGGGCCCTGTGGTATTACTGTGCTCTTCAGTGCTTCCGCGTCCTTCTATTTCGGTGCCAACTCATGGGAGTCTCCCATACCATCCTGTCGGCTCTTGCGAATCGACGCTAATCGACGCTCGTCGACGCTGATCGACGCTAAATCGACGATAATCGACGCTAGCCGACGCTGAAGACGAAATTAAAGTATACCAAGGTCCCATGATTTGCTACCGAATTCTATCATGTGGACTTCAGACTTGTACGCCTTCACCTGCGTCGCTGGCGCGCCATCGCTGCATGAAGCTACCGTGCTGGAGCGTCGCCTATGCACCGCTCCAGGCCTGGAGTCCCTGCGGGCCCCGCCCCAGCGCGGCACGGTGCATAGCTTTTCGA